CTCGGAAGAGCAGCTTCTGTGAGTTGTTTTTGCCAATGTCTTGTTGATTTTTCTCAAGTCTGATGACATATAGTATTCAGCTTCTGTGATTTGATTAGGCAATTTCTTGCTAAAGTGACATAAATATTCTTTCTGTATGCTGTCAGAGAATGCTCAAGGCTGATGGTTACTTTCCATCGAAAAGCTGGATCAGGTAAACTCACTGGTGTATATAGAAAGTACAGTACATGGAAGTATGGCTGTGCCGCTAGAATAGAACCAGCCCTGTTTCTACTGGAACATTAAGGAAATGCACATGAACACACCAATAGAAGTTGTGGCTTCAGTACTGTCTTTACACTATAAGGACCCTTCAGAAAGTTGTATAAAACTCCTATTCCTATTACGAGTGCTTGTCTTTCAGGATAATGGTGTATAGAAACAGGCCTGTTTCTACTGGATAATTAAGGGAATGCAAGTGAACTTTAGTTTCTAATACATTTATTCGCAGACTGCTTTGGTTGTTTTCGGAGTTTGCTTGTACTAGAAGTTTGCCTATCAACAGAAGTTGGCCTCACTAGTGTGTCTCTTTCTTTACACTCAATATAGTCTTTCGGTATTGTACAACACCTGTGGATGGACAATTATGAATTGGCGCATAATTGTTTTTATATTTAGCACTGAAATATAAATTGTTAGTCAGTCCCTCCCTAATGGCCATAACCAATAAAATACAAGGATAGATAAGATAAATTGAGTAGGATAAGAATAGAAATGAATGGGAAATTTTCCAGTGATTAGTCTCTTAAGGTTGGTCGGCTGGTCTTGTGGCTGGTCTTGTGGTTAGGGGGTGAAAAAATGAACAAAATATGAGGAATTATTTTGTAAGTGCGTCAAGTTGAGGCAATTGAAGAATAATTTTAAATTTATAAATCATTATGAATAAACTTTTTCTAAAAGTACTTATAAGAAAAGAAAATAAGGAAAAACTAAATAGAACTTTCTAAATGTATAATTTGATTTATAAGAATTTTGAGATATTAATTTTTCTAAAAATTTATTTTTAACTTATACATGAGTTAATTTTAATTTATAGAAAATTTTTATTTTTTCCTTGTTTACAAAGATTATTAACATGTGTAACTTTGTTGTACTCTTAACAAAAAATCTTTTAAGTATATATACCAATGGTAATGGTAACAATGATAAAATAATAATTACAAGGATTGTGATAGTAAAAGTAATAATATTAGTAATGATGAAAATGTTGAAAATAAGTGTGAAACATAACAAGTTTAATTATTCAACAACAACAAAAACAAGACATAGCATGAATAAAAAGACAAAAAAATTATCTTTGTTAACTTCATTTTTCTTAACTCTTTCACAATATAAAATTTGAATTAAAGAACACGATGAGATATATAAATAGGATAATTAACATAACAAGTTTAATTATTCAACAACAACAAAAATAAGACATAGCATGAATAAAAAGACAAAAAAATTATCTTTGTTAATTTCATTTTTCTTAACTCTTTCACAATATAAAATTTGAATTAAAGAACACGATGAGATATATAAATAGGATAAATCAATTTATAAAATTTCAATTTTCTCATTGACTACAAATCAACTATTGAATGCTTGCCTACATAATACATGTAAGGGAATAAAAATAAAAATAAAAAGGGATAAATTTTATCTATATTGACCTCTTTTTAATTCAATTTCCTTCACACGATAAAAGTTAAATGAAGGGACACATGTTAATTAAATTGAATAAGCAAATAAGACAACAATTTATCTAATCTCTTTTTACTATCTTTGACTATCAAATAAGCCTTTACATGTAAATTTCATCAAATTAATTAGTGTGATTGAATGCATACTTGTAGGAAATAAAATGAATGTAGAACATAACTAAAGATGACAACGAAAAGAGGTGGAGGCAGACAATAGTCTCTATCATTGTCCCATTTAATGCAAGTGTTTATTTAACGAATATCCATAAATTTTCTATATTTGTTAAAATGAAAAGTTTTAGATGAAAAAGTACAAAATATAATTAAACTTAAAATAAATAATATTATAACATGTATTTATGTTAAAAAATAATTGTGTAGTATATATTTATTCTAAGAATAAATAATCATGACACACACACACACACACACATATATATATATATTATAATAAAATTAATTAATTAAATTTATTTATATATAATTAAAAATATTTTAAAAGTGTGGTACAAATACTTTACTATTTATCCCGTCTCATTATTAAGTTTATACTCAATTATTCATTTAAAATATGCAGTAGGTTTTATCTTCATGTATCTACTAATATAATTTTTTTGTTGCCACTAAACATGACAGTGCGTAATAAAGACAAAAATATTAGTAAAGAAGACTGAGGTTTTTATATTAGTTGAAACTTCTCAATCTCTTCAATCGACTTCATCCGGGCTTCATCGCTCATCATTAGGTCCATTTCCACCAAGTTTACATGCTTCTTACTTGTTGAGGTGGTGGGTTCATCAGCCCAAGTAAGTTGGTGGTCAACCTCAACCTGACTTACCGAGAGAGTTATCTTGAGACTAGTTGTATAACATTCTCTTGCTATTTTCTTATCAATGTGAGTTGTCATCATTCTTTTGTTGAGGAAGGAAACTTCATTTCTAGGTGTGACGTCAAAATTATAGCACCCATCTCATTAAGAAAATGTCACCCTAGTAAAGTGTTGTAGGAGGTATTGGCATTAATTAATATTTATCTTAAACTAATTGTATTCCCTCTTGTCACCATCATCAAAAGTAGTTAATAAGTCAATATAGCCTTTCGTGTTGACCCTTTCTCTCAAGAAATTGACCAATTAATCATTGTAAGGCTTAATGTTTTACTCGAAAATCTATAGTTATCGAAAGGTGGGAACTTATAAGATACTGGTAGAACTTCCTTGGTCTAACAGTGTCTTCATTACTATGAAGTTTGCCATCTCCATAGTAATCACCAAAGGTTCATCCTAACAAGGTCCAAGCCTTTGAAGTCCTTGTTTATGAAAATGATTAGCAACATCTTTCGTAATGGTTGGCGAGCGACAACATTTACTACCTTAATAGTGCAAAGATGTCCTTTCTTTGTAGAACTGGTCAAACATCCACCAATAAACCCTCTAGCAATGATGTTTATCATCTCATGTAGCCAAGAACTAGGACAGTCCTCCTGTCGAGGAGTCTGTTCAGGACCTGATTGGGGCCAATCATCTGTTTTGTACCTTCTCTCGTGACACTCATAGTGATGATCTTGATTATGAGATCTAATATCAATCTTCTACATGAACTTGTGTAAATGCTTTGCTTGGATTAACTCTTCTATATTATCCTTCAAAGTCGCGCATTCCTCAATGGTATACTAAAGTTACGATGATACCAAGAGTGCCCGGTGTAATGGCCTTCTAAAAAGTGGGGATCGACTTGACTGGAGGTATCAAATCATTACTTAATGCCTTGTCCAAAATTCTTACTATCATTCAAAAAAGCATATTGAAAGTACCTCAATAACTTATGCTCCCTTGTGTGCCTTGACCAAACCCTTTCTCTCTTGTCTCCCCTAGACTTTACCTTCTCATTACCTCGTTCCTCACCAAAGCATTCTTATAACTTGACAACCTCTTTCGTTTGCATATACTTTGTTATCCTTGTACGAAGTTCTTCCATGGACACTGCTAGCATTTTATATAAGTTATTGAGGAAAGGTCCCAGCCTCAAAGTTAATAACATCTGATGTAGAGCGACCTACTTGGTTAGGCTAGGAATTTCAAAAGTCACTTTCTCAAACCTGTCCATGAAAGCCCTAAAAGATTCATCCTTACCTTGCTTAACGTTGATAAGGGCGATTGACGTCATGAGATGCGGTCGACTAGTACCAAAATACATGGTGAATTGGGAGACCATTACCCTAAAGGAGTTGACCAAGTAGGGTAAAAGATAAGTAAAACACCTTAGGGTCATTTCCTTCAGGGATGTAGAGAAAAGATGACACATGACTACATTAGTATTGGTGACCGTGCTAACTTGAGAGCTATACAAGTTAACATGATCATCAAGATCATAGGTCCCATCATTCATTTGGTCCCAAGTTCTTCCATCCCCTTGGGAGGGGTGTTTCCATGATCTCACCAATGAAGGGATGTTTACGAAACTCCTCTCGTATGGTAGAAAAATGAGGTGCCGACATCCCAACCTGTTGAGATGCTTGGGTGATCCAAACCCCCCTAGAGAATGGTACTTTGATTAACAACATGCTAAAAGGGAAAGCAGAATCACCAAAAGAGTCAAATGAATGTGGTTGCTAGGCAGGGTCATTGTTAGGAGTGATGTTCTTAGTACTAGTTTGTGATTGCTTAATCAATTGTCGTATCTTAGAATTTTTTTGCCTAAGGAGTGGCATCTCCTCCTCATGTTGTTTATGTTGCCTCTCACTCTGCCCACACCACTATTGCAACTCCATCTATAAATCTACCAACATGCGAGTATTGTTGGTATCTCATGGTTCCCGCTTGGTGATCCTTTTATTCTAGCCATTTGCCTTGTCAATAGTTTGAAGGAATAAATTTTCTACAACCCTACAATGGGCAACAAATGTAATTGCTAAAAAAGTACTCGTCCAATGTCTTTGGTCCTTGATCCTTGGTCTTTAGCCCTCGACGTTAGAAATGGGTGGTAGTACCAACAATAAGGACTTTAATGCTTAAGTTAGTGGGCGTTCGAAGCATATAGCGTACTCTCGAGAATGAAATTATCTTCTGAACGTGAAATACATGTGTATATATAGGAAAGGAAATGTTATCATTGTTAGAAAAGATGGCTTAATCAAGAAGGGGAGGGGTGAATTGGTTATTAAAATTTTTTTGTTGAATCTTTTTGGTTTTGAAAATTTTTTCTAAAACTTTTCAAAGAAGTATATTGATATATAACTGTATATAGGATATTATGTTGAGACTTTATGCAAATTCAAATTCATTTAGTCCAATATGCAATGTTCATGTTTCAATAGTTTCAAATCACATAACATCAAGCATAAAATCATATTTGCGAGAATGTAAAGATAAGTATAGGGATATAGAAAAATATACAACAAGTTTATACTAGTTCAGTTACATTCATTTATGACTTACATTCAGTCCCTAATCAATTCGATTGAGATTTTTCACTAATCTTTAATGTCAAAAGTTTTACAATCACAAAATTACATGCAATACACTTCTACACCATTAAAGAAATCACTTCTTGCACCCCAAGAAGCATTTACTTGTAGCACTCCACTACAACTTTTTCTTTTTAAGAAAACCAATCACGGAGGTTAAGGAATGAATTCACCTGATGTACAAAACATATTAAAGTAGGTGAATCAAACCAATATAGTTTATCCTATAACTCCATGAAGATGATGATCAACTCAATTCTTGAATTCTTTCTTGAGGTTTCCACAAAGGTTATCAAACCACTTTCCACAAAGAAAATGTTTTTCTTAGAGAGTATATTTGAAAGTAATATCACAAGGATTCCAATCTCTCTATTTTGAATTGAAAAATGATATATAAAGTTTTTTTAATAGAAATAATCGATTATTTACATGGATAATTGATTATTTTATTCCTCGTAGATCTAAAAAAACAACCAATAATAGTTTGATTGATTATTTTAAGTGATAACCGATTATTCCATAAACTAATTTCTAAAATAATTGATTATTTTGTTGAATAATCAATTATTACAACAATTACTTCTCAATTTACTAAAAAATAGAGCAAATAATCGATATTACTTAAGATAATCGATTATTTTAAATGAAAATATCTCAATTTTCCATACTAGTTCTCTTTTCAAATCAATTGTTAAAACTTGTTTTCATTATCAATCGTAATCTAGATAAAGATATAAGGCTAAGTTACCTACAAAGCACAACGCACATAAGCAACAAAGCTTAAACACACAACAAGATACAATTTACACTCTTTTCTTTTTAAGAGACTTAAATTTGTAAGCATCAAAACTAAGTATACTATGTCTCATCTTGAGCTTGATCAACAACCATTAGTCAACAAGACATTTAAGTACATTTAAATTTTTTTACTGTTGTGCAACGTTTGAACATTGCAATCTGCTACTCATTGGGGAACATGTTCATCATGTCAAGGATTGCTCAGCCTTTGGAATTATGTTGTTTCATTGGACAAATAGTTTGGATCCTTACTTTATAGTCATGGTGGCCTTCTTTTGATATTAGGCTAAGAATCGATAGGTCCTCGATACTAAAGTTCAGGACTTATCTAGTATAATTTCTATAACATTTTTGGAAGTTGTGATACATGACAAAAAAAAATTATAAGATTCATGGAGAGAGAAAAGGTACACATTAGAGACATCATAAAGAAGGTGATAAATACAAAAAATGATAAAAAGAGTACAAAAAAGTGAGAGAAATGAAGGAGGTAGTAACTCATTACAGGGAGACACGACAATAAGAATCAAGTTGTAAGGGAAGGAAAAAACGACAATAAGAATCAAGTTGTAAGGGAAGGAAAAAGGTGAAAGGAAAATGGTCGAAGGTAAGATGGAAAAGATATTTTTAAAGTATATAAAAAAATGGTATAAAGAAGAGAAAACAAGTGCAAAAAAAATAAGATGGTGCTCATTTATGAATCTTACAAGGATGAGTCAAAGCTAACTTATCCCATTAATTTGGCGTGACTTAATGTTGCATTGGAAATTTTTGATTTTTGAAATTTGTTTTAATACATTTTGATGATGTCTTCAAGTTATGTTTTGGATTAGTCATGCCTAATTGGGTTAACCTGACCAACATTTTTTAAAATAATTATGTATTCATAATTTTTAATAAATAATATTTTACATAAAATAATATTATATTTATATTTATATTATTTATTTTAAAACATATATTGTAAAATATACTTTAGGTTAATTTTTTTTACTATATAATAATGTTAAAATTGATATATCATGTTATAAAGTAAAATTAATTCAATAGTATCTCATATATTTTGAATTTTGATGAGTCAAGTTTGTGTTCAAATAAATGACATGATGAAATTTTGGGTCAGGTAAAGACAAAAACAAACATATCATTAGTTCATATGCATGACAATTAAACCTGCAATTGTGGGTATCTATTCGATCTTGACTCAATTTTGACAAAAAAAATTGCTTTGATTGAGTTTAGATTTGGGTACGAGTTTTCCCTGGACTTAGAAAATCAGGTTCAAGTTCAAGTATATAATTCTTAGTCTTACCCTATACCCGTTTAGATGTATTTTTTTTCTTAATTGCTTTTCTGATCTCTTTAGTATTACAATTGTGTAATTTTTGAATTTTAACGATCCAACTGTTAAATTAAAAGTTCTTAATCTATAGATCAAGTCTACAATTGTTAAAATAATTTAAAAATTATTTGATACTTTTTTCATTAATGCAAATTGACGGGTAATCACAAAAATGTTTATATGTTAATTTGAATCTATAAAATAAATTATCATATGATTTTTAAACTTTGCAAAAAATTGTAAACTTAATCTATACATTAAAAAAATTTAATTTAACGGTTGGATTGTTAAAATTTAATATATAACATGTTATTGAATGAAGTAAGTCTACCAAAACTTAATATTATATATATATGTGTGTGTGTGTGAAGGGATTAAATGACATCTATGTAACTTTACTAACTATTACATTGTTTAATAACTTTATATTACATGTGAATTTCATTAATCTAATCATTGAATTATAACATCATACCACTTTATATGTGTATGTCAAATTTTATTAAAATTAATCTATTTTGTAAGAGAGTTATAACATCATATCACTCAGTTCACTATTCAAACATACTTAATAAAAACTTTTAATTTAAAAAGTTCATAAGTAAAATAACTCTCTCAATAGTTACTTCTAGAGTAAATGGATCTGGATCCCCTTATATGACCACACACACACATATAGATAAAGGAGGGATCCATTACTCAAAGAGAAAATTTTATTAGAGTTACTCAATTTAATAACTTATGATCGATATTAAATTTTAACGATTTAGTCTTTAAATTAAAAAATTATCAATGAATAGATTAAATATATAAAATTTCAAAATTTAAAAATTATTTAATACTTTATTACATTAATTTAAATAAACATATAATGTATTTTAATTTTTGTGAATAACTGTTAATTTAAATCAATATAACAAAGTATCAAATAATTTAAAATTTTCGAAAAAACTATAGATAACAAACCCTATATATGTGTATCATTCGCAAGCGTAAGTTTTGATAAATTTACTCCACTCAATAAATTATAATTTATATTGAATTTCAACAATCCAATCATTAACTTAAAATTTCTTAATATATAAATAAATTCTACAAGTTTTTAAAAATTTATAAACTTAATTTATGCATTAAGAATATTTAATTTAATAGTTAGATCATTGAAATTTGATGTTAAATATGACTTATATTATAAAATTCAAGTATCTTTTAATAATTCTCATTTACGTCAATTTGACATGAATATAATATAAATATATATATATATATCTATAATATCAAGTTCCATTGGCACCATGGTATCAAATTATAGTAAAATGATACCTTTAATATTTTTTAATAGAATAAAAATTTAATCAATCCAACTATTATTTTTAATGATATTACACTCACGAGCATATGCATCGAATCTCAAATGATTTAGACTCTTTTAGATATATTATAACAATAGATATTTATTGGTGTATAAACAAATAATAAATATTTACATGCATATTGAATATTATTTTATACAATAAAATTAAGTGTTTTGATGAATTATCAAATAATCTTATAATTGTATATAATTTTATATAATTAATCTATTTATAATTCTAATAAAATTACATTAAATCCAACTCATTAATAATATCTTTCACATAATTTTTTGACTATATACTAGCTCACTTTAATGAAATAACTAAATTATTTAATTTGATTTAGTTGAGTATTTAATAGATTTAACTTTTGGTTACACTTAATTATGAAAATTATTAATATATAAATTTCCATAATAGTAAATGATTAAAATATATAATAACATTAATTTTAAAATATTTTATTTTAATTAGTTAATTTTTTTTTATATTTGACCTAAATTTAAAATTGATTAGTTAAATTATTTGAATTAGTTTATTGTTTGATTTTTATTAGTCCTTTGCACAACAATTATTTACACTAGAGGGGATCAGACACTTCGTGTTTTTAATAATTACACAAATAAAATATTAGAAGATTATGAACAGTTATTTAGATAAGATATAAAAAAAATTTCTTTTACATCTGAGGAATATAATGATTTACTAAAAAGTGAAGACCAAAATTTGATCCCCTTTATTAATAAACTAGGAGAAAGACTAAAGAGGCACTTTGTATCTTTAAATATTTTTAAAAATAAATAAATGATATATATATATATATATATATA